AATATTATATTTCTGACAATAGGTATTCCTAAATGTTACACACTGGACTGAACTTAAGCTTTTAACCACAAACCTTATTTCATACATCTAACCAAAAACCCATACAATAAAACCTATTGACATTGAGGAGAGGGAACCAGAGGTGTTAAAACGCTTACTTAGTTCTGTTTTAGGACTCATTCCTGCAGCACTCAATATGGCGCTAGATGTAACATCACTGCAAGACCTCAGTAGCACACAGTGACACTTCCTTGTCATTGTGCAAGCTCTGTTAGTTGTGTTCTTTATTTTCAATTAAAACCATCAAGGAAGAAAGCATTTCCTCATGTACTAGAGGGGCCATCACATAAATTCAAGGTTTAACAGGTAGAACAGCACCGAGACGTTTCTTATGAGGAAATGCATCCAGTGTAATGTACTTATATAAGGGCTGTTATTTCAGTCAGTCCAGGACAACATCTCTATAGCTGTGTCAGTTTCATTTACACTCAATTAGTCGATGAATCGACAGAAAAATAATCAGCAACTATTTTGATAATCGATTAACTGTTAAAGTAATTTTTCATGCAGAAATGGCAGAAAAGTACTTTTTCTGCTTCTCAGATATAAAGAATATATAATATATAGAATATATATCTTTGGGACCGACAAAACATTTAAAGACGTTACCTTGGAGAAACTGGGATGGACATTTTTCACAATTTTCTGACATTTTATAGACCAAACAATTCATTGATAATGAAAATAGTTGTTAGTTGTTGCCCTACTTGGCACCATATTTGTTTGGATTCTGCCTCTGGAGCAGCACTGACACTATATGCTCACAAAGGCAAAGACTGTTTCAGGGGAAACATCCAATCAGGAGAACAGCTCCGCACCTCAGTAAAATATCAGACGTGGGCGGCAACCTGGATATTTGGAACCAGGTTACATAGAGCTTAAGGTTTTGCCTTATCGGATGTTCGGATTTTTTAACAATACCTACCAATTCCACTCTTACTACATAGGTGGTGAGATGGGTCCCAACATCTTGCAAAAGACATTTACAATGAAAGAAAATAGCCTTTCTGGTTATTTTCTCACAATTATATGAATATTTTATATTTATACATTCAAAATGAGGTCAAATCAATTTAATTTACACAATTTCTAACAAGTTCCATCATTCCATGCATGTTGGAAAATGTTCCTCTTCTTTCTTTTGCCTTGTTAAGATCTCTTCACATCAAGCCTTTTACAGTGTCCAGATTAACACATGGACACTAAAGCTCTGCATGTTTCTGTGGAATCACATCAGTTCAGTTTCAGTCGCTCCACTAGGCAACATTATGTGTAATCACCACGTCCATTATAGTGAGGACCAGATAGGATCCCAATGTGTGATCAGATATTGTGAGGTAACAACACGAGGTTCAGTCTATCAAACTCTCAGGGTGCTTTTGGAGAGTGGTGTGTGTTTTGTAAGGGCAGACCTCAGTTCAGCTCCCCGTGCTGTCAGCGACCTGAGCCTCTGTCTCATCCTAGGGGAGAATTTTATTTTCTACTGTCATGTTTATCTTTGCCTTGCACGCACAGAATATGTACAAAACTACATAAAGCAAACAAAAACAAAGTTATGAACAGAGTGTAAATCCATACCTATACTTGTTAATAATGATTAAAATTATGAGTTGTGTCATAATTCTCTTCTCTCCTGTTTTTACTTTGGCTTACTTTGTTGTTTATTGTCTTCCGTCTAAAATATTACTGATGATGTCAGCAAGGTCATATTAGCGTAAATAAGCCACAGCTGCTTCGACCATTTTGTTCTGCACCAGCTTTATGGGAGTGCAGTACTACACTGCTGGCGTACCGCTTTAAAACCCTTTTCATGCATTGTTTCTGACAACCTGAGTCAGTGTTTCTACTATCTTTACTAAAGAAATTCACATTTTTCTTGAATGAATAAAACAAATTTGTTTTTTTACATGTCTACTCGCGTAGATAGAAAAGGCAGCTCATGCTAAGGTACAATGTAAAAACTAGTTTAGAAAAGGCAATTAAATCTTTTAGTTTTAAGTCAAACTCAAACTCGAAAAAAATCTGTATTAAAACTCATTAAAGTGAAAAAGTTATAATTTAATATTTTCAATTGCAACTATTTAATTTTCAAGCATCATAATAATGAAAAATCGGATTCACAGCTCACTGAACAATTTTTAAAATCCAGATCTTTTTCCCCCCTAAAACTCAAAAGATTTCAGTTCAAGAAAAGTAAATTACCTCAACAAAAGATTACAGGCAAAGGTTTTTTTAATTTATTTCAAAGCTTAAAAGTTTGACTTTTTCTTTAGTAAAGACAGTTGCCTTGAAATCATGAGTTTTCTCAACTGTTTGTTTTTACAGTGTAACTAAACATAATGCTTCCTACATTCAGGTGATTATATGCTAATGAAAACATACCTATGAATATTATATTCCATTTATGACGATAGACAGACAGACAGACAGACAGACTGACAGATAGATAGATAGATAGATAGATAGATAGATAGATAGATAGATAGATAGATAGATAGTGGAGTTTTAAGAAGTTAATTATTTCAGTTTTGTGCTAATATGTTGCATTTTTAAGTCTGTTAAGGAGTTTAAATCCTCACTTTAGATAGTCGGGAAAATGTTGGGGTAGCACAGAGACTGGAATACAGGTGAGCACTGTAGGCAACGTGACTATATACATGCAAGTTATTATAAAAATTATTATTAAAAATATCAGTAAATTATCATATTTCTTTAGTTTGCAAGTGTTTCAATATTAAACATCTTCTATATTTTGATATAGCTTGTTTTCATTCACATTATTAGTGTCAGTCTCAATACACATAATCATTTTCTTCTTTCTATCTTTAATCATGCTGTTTCTTCCTCAGGGATCATTAATGTTCCAGTTTTTGTAGTTGGGTGTGTCAGAGAGCAGTCAGAGCTGGGCTCCTGTGCTGGTAAATACAGTAGGACGATAATAAAAGACAAGACCTCTGCAGGTCTGGGAAACAGTATCGAGTTAGATACACACTCTGTATTGATATACAGTATCTGTATTAATGTCAGGCTGTCCTTGGACTTCAACTACACTGTGTCACTCACTGTTCTCACCTGGCTTATCTGGCTGACAGGAAATCAGTCTGATTCTTTTGAAGGTATCTGAGGGTTTACAACTTTTAAAGATAAGAGTAAAGTATTTTAATGCTTTAACTGAAATTAATTGCTAACCAAACCAGAAACCAGAATATGGCTCATTAAAGCTGTAAAATAATGGCAGCAGTAGGATGAGATACATGTTAGTCCAACAGGCACTTAGCACAGGTTAAATTAGCACAATAACTGCATCTAAAATAAAAAAAGAGAACTGTCATTTAAACACATTTAATGTACATTACAGTCCACTCTAGAAGCTAAACAATATAAAGGAGTATACACTGAATATATAATGTGTTTCAGATTATAGTCTTTCTTTGCATAAAATGATTTCATCTTCACTTTAAAATTAGAACTTATCTGTCTGCAGTTTCATGTTTCACTTAAAAAATAAAACATCTGAAGGGCAGTTTGAAAAACAACAGGCATCTAAAAGTCTTCTTTTTTTCTTATTTCAAAAATACAGTTGATTCCATTGTCTCAAACTAAAGGACAGCTCTTTGGCTAGCTTCCATACATTTTCCTCCGCTCTAATGAAGAGTAGATTTGACACCTGTCTTCAATGTCACCATGCTCCAACATTCTGTAAAATATTCCTACAAAGTTCATATAGAGGTCTGTGGATTGTCCTGAGTAACACACTGTAAAACTGGTTAATTTAACTAAACATTTTTTGAAACTGATTACATTTTTTATTTGTACTGTGAAAATAAAACGCTTAATCAGGAAAGTTTCTTTAACTTACCATACTAAGTTTGTGTCACCTAAAATTACTAGTAAAAGCTGTTTCATTGAAATCTTTAAATAAAAATTTGGATGTAATCCGTTTCAAAAGGTTTTTTTTTGTTAAAATAACACACATTACATTGAAGTAACTGAGGTGTTGTTTCTGGAAAAACATGATGCTGTTGAGTTTTTCTAAAGCTTTACAGATTACAAACCAAGTTCCTTTCACCTCTGAGCTTCGGGGTGGTCACAGAAAGTGAAGACCCTCAACTAATCAAATCCAAACTATCTGTGCTAACAGATGGTCTGGGTCTCAGGTAGGAAGTTCTGGGTGACCTCAGCTGCAGTGTTTTGTAAACTGCATGATATAATTTAATTTGATTATAACTCCTTTTAAACATGCTGCTAATAAAGGCTTACTGCAATAAATGACCCTGTACCATGAAGCTTATAAGGTTCAGGTTTTGTGCCTTTTTCCTCCAACAGGGGACTGACTCCATTCTGTTTAGGGCACCTAGTTTGGAGCAGTTTGGAAAATTTTGACCAAAAATAAAGTGGTTCAGAACCCAAAAAGTTGGTACCTGACTGGAACCAAAAAATATCAGGTTTCCTTGGCAACAAAAGTGGGTGTGTCATATGGTGCATTCATTTTGTCCAACCGACTCGATCTGCGAGTCACGCTGAGTTACGGACCGGAAGTTGCAAATAGAACGCTCCCGAGGTCGGAAAAACAACTCTCAGGCTGCACAAGCTACAAAATAACTAATTAGGCGGTATTTAGACACTAAGGCTGTAGCGACATGCCTATAGGTAAACAGTATACAGTGCTATTGTGTACGACTTCTTCATTTGGTTACAACAAAGACAAAAGTGCTTTAAACATTAGTTTAGAAAACCACAATGTTTATACGTGTGATGCTCGGAGTAGCCATCTTGGTAACTGAACTCGGGGGTCCTCTGAGTTCAGACTGACTTCAGGAG